TATTGTCAGTCAACGATAGGCAAATTGAAAAGATTACACATCCCTATTTAATGCCGCCCTATGCAACACTGTAACACATCGTTTGCATATTGAGAACATTTAAAATCAGCTAATTTTCATCCAATCCCCTGTTTTGTTGTGCAGTGTAACCACACGCAGCATAATAAACTACAACAAATTTGATAGGTCAATCAGGGACTTAATTTTGCGCCTTTTTGACGGCCATTGTTAAGAGCTAGATGCACACATGCGATTATTAGCGGTTACACGAGGCCAACCCCTATTGGAAACGAATGGGGATCTATCTACCCTCCCCTGAGTGCCCATTGCTCGCTTGTTACAATTCATAACTGTCATGTAATGTGTCACAGACGCAATCGATTCCAAGTCGGGCCACATTGCAGTCGCAACGCATAATCAAGTCGTAAATTTCTATGGGTCAGCAGGTGAAAACGGCACGATTCGATGTCATCATTCATAATTGGATGTTTGCTTCAGCCAGAGGCTTGCCATCAAAAACATGCCACACCAGCGAGAAATAACGAATTCAATATGCAAAGCGGCTACGATTTTTATTTGCACTCGTGCGCACAGTGGGTGGCATCAACAATGGGACACAGTCTTTGTCCCATTCCCATTCCGTTGGATACTTTGCTGGCTGTAAACATTAATTGATTTGTGCCAAAAGCCGAACAACTTTTTAGGCCGTGCGTCGCGTCCCCCGTCCCCGCGGCTAATTAAGTTATGCCCCAAATGGCAAATTAACATAAAAGTTTGCAACATTAAAAATGATATTCACTTTATTATGCTCATATATTGACATTTGAGGTGCTCTTTTTTATGGTTACTTTGTGACAAAATTGATTAATGAACTCATTTATTTGTGTCGATAGCATATGGAGAATTTTTATGATACACTCAGAGAAATATCCGGAATTTTGCTTCCAAACTTGCGCAATTCATGTTTTTATAGTTCTGTTTTTATTTATTTATTTTTTTTATTATTTTATATTTTGGACTGACAGTGAAAGTGGTTTTTGTTAGTCATTAAATTTAGACCATAAATATTACAGTTTAGGCGGAGCTATTGTTTAACACTTTGGTATAAGGGCGGCATAATCGAAAACTTTTTATGATCGCACTCAAAACTCAACTCATAAAAGGGATTATCACAATAAAATAATAATATATTACTTAATTTCTTCAGTTTTTTTTTTAAATAATAATAATTTGTAAAATAATTTGCTTGAGTGATTAGACCTTATGGTAACTATAGATGTGTCTCTTACCTGTCTTACCTGTTAACGGTATTCACATGACTTCAGATCGTATTAATTCAGAACAACTATAATGGGCAATACCTGAATAGTTAACAGCAATCATTTGCGTGTTGAACACTCAATAGCATGGTCGTATAAACAAATGCATATATTATGGCTGAGTGCTATAAAATGCGTTGAAATATCTCTAATAACTAACATAAAACAGGTCGTAAAATGGCAATCGAATTATGGCCCGGGGCATCCAAAAACAGCCGTCTTAGAAAGTGGACATAAAAATTTGTGAATGTTAACAGCATTCTTAACAAATTCATTTCGGCACGCATTCGGCATTTCGGGTTTGGGTCTGTGACTGCGTCTGGGCCTGGGTTTGGTCAAGTCTTGACATGATAGATAGCTAGATGGATTTTCAAAGTTCAGTTGAGTCGAGTGAAACTGTTAACGTGACTGTCGCGTCTGATCCACCAATTAATTGATAGACCCATACAAAAATTGTGAAAGCCATCGCCTTGGTGTCTACAATGAACGCCTTCTATGCGCTTATAACTCTATTTATAATTTTGGACATTCAGTTTGTGTATGTGTCTCTCTCTCTCTCTCTCTTTCTCCCTGGTGGTTTGGTGTCAGCTCTCTTTGTGTTTGTGCATGGTATGTATCTTGTTAATGGCCGGTTTTAAAATGCCATAAAATCGCTTTATAAGCCCATGATATTAATATGCACAACAATATTGAACATTATTATAATATATTAGGGAGTATCTGGCGCAGACAAAGGCGACCCAAATGAGCCCTAGACCGATCCAATCTTTGATTTTGGTCAACACCAAACACCTATGCACGCCCTGTGGCGCACATTAACCAACTTCAAGACAATGGCAAGGCCATCGAAGTAGCCTGCAGAGCGGGCAGCCCCAAAAACATTTCAATTTGTACATTGATATTCTTAGTCTTGTTTCAGTTGCTGGAGTATTCTTATATTTGGGTATCGAATTGCTGGCATTTGTCAGGTCTTCCATAAATAAAGGGCTTGTTAGATAGTCGGTGAGTGTGTGGAACATCTGGGAACAAGTGCCGCTGATAAAACCGCTCAAGATTGCACGTTATCAAAGTCATCCACTGCCTCGTAACTAATTGTTGTCAGCTCCAATATCCTGGGAAACTGATAAGATGTTATGTGGTTGCATGCTCCTTAGGGATGTAGCATCTAATAAATACATGTTTATTTATTACTACAAATTGCCTGGGAATTGTTTTTGAAGATTTATAGATTTGGTCTAGATACATAAATACATACAACTCATACATGCATACATGCAATGTCTTTGCTTTTAATTTC